TCTTCTTTAGGCAAAGTAGAAGAGGGCAGCCTGGCAGATTTCCAGAGAGCTCAGTAGGAGAGCAGTCAGCATGTTGTTTAGGATCAAATTGCTAAGTTCATCTTCTGAAGAAGGTGGGAAGGAATTTTCAAGCCTTCAGTTAAGACATGATAACAGTTTTCTTTCAAGATCACAAGGAAGTTTGCAGATCAGAGAGAAGTTTTTCAGTTGTTACCTTGGCATAATTCCTTCCTATACCTACAGTTTGTTCCACTTTGAGACCTTTAGCAACATAATCAGATACTCCTATGTGTCACCTGCTAAGAGCTGAGGGATGAGAAAGTATTGTCAAGAGAAAAGTGTGTCTTTTGTTTGAAGTCTTAGTTACTTAGTAGTATTAAAACTGAAATACCACCAAAATGAGTGACATTAACAAATAGAAATTTGTTTTCTTACAATTTTGAAGATGCTTATTTGATTGGGCTCTCAGCTGTAAATCTCAAGGGAGGAGGATCATGGCAGCACAGTTTTTATTCATTAGACTGCCAGGTTTTCCTTTAGAAGGCTGCTGCTTTTGTCTTTACATGCCATGGAGTTGATGACAACTCTAGCAACCCTGTGTACGATGGATCTGAACAATGCCCTATCCTCATTATCTCTGATACACTTAGGCCCATTGTTAAGTCACTATGTTGATCTATCTTGATGAGGGTCTTCCTCTCTTGATTTCTTTTCCCGAGGACTAGCCCCTCCTAACAACATGCACAGAGTATGTGAACCAAAGTTCCGCCATCCTTCTCCAAAAGGCCCATTCTGGCTGCACTTTCTCTAATACCTTTCTGTTTTTTTGGAAGTGAATGAGATATTTAATACTCTTCTCCTAAATGAAAACTCAAAAGCATTGATTCTTCTGTCATCCTTATTCATTTAGAAGGCTTTTGTAGTTACGAACCACTGAGCTGGAACTGACTCATAACTGACCCTCCAGTAGGTGTTCTTAGGCAGTAAGTTGCACAGGAATTGATTGTCCATCTTTCTCGTGCAAAGCAGCTGGTGGATTTGAACTGTGTATCTGTGGGTTGGCAGGGCAACTGCTTACCACTAAGCCGCCTTGTTGTTAAATGCTGTCTAATTGAAATGGACTCCTAGATGACTCTCCAGCAGGTTTCTGCACAGGAGGAGATTGCCCATCTTGCTCCTGCAGAGCAACAGATAGATTCAAACCATGTACTTTTGGTTTACCATCACAACTCCTAGCCACCAGCATTCCCTCATTGTGCTTCATTCACCTGATAAAGAGAATTCATTCCCCAGTGGAATATCATCCTCTCCAGAGAGACAGAAAGATTACAACACATATTTAGGGGAACACAATTCAATTAATAATGTTTGACATTGCAAAAATTAGAAAGTTTTTCCTTTTGCTTCCTAAAACAACACTAAATATAATTGTATTTAAGAGTCCTGGTGACACAGTGCTTAATAGCTTGGTTCCTAGTCCATAGTTTGGATATTAAGCCTCACCAGCTGCTCTGCAGGAGAAAGATGTGGCTCCTGTAAAGATTTACAGCCTCAGGAACCCTATAGACACTTCTGCTCTGTCTTAAGAGTCCCTCTAGGTTGGAACTGACCTGGAGGCAATGCTTATTGTTTGGTTTTATTTGTATATTGTTTGAAATAGTTATATTTAGGCTGAGGGCTTTGCAGGACAGCAGATTAGGAAGTGTGTCTTTTTTGTGTATTTAAATATATGCTCCAAATAGCAAAAGGCTTTTCACTTTTGGTGAACCTGTACTCTTAGAAGGAGGAGGACTACATTATGTTGCATGGTTTTGGTTTTTTTTTATACTAGAAACTTCTCCTTTCCATGATCACCCCCCTCCTCGCATATAGCTGCCATGATGAGACCTGGCTTTTCACCTCATCCAGAATAAGAATGACAGGTTTTGTGTCTTCTGAAAGAGTCAAATCTTTCTGGAGCAGCCAAATACTTGAATAGGCAAGAGACCTTTGCGAGATATTTATAGGAGGCAAGTTGAAAAACTAAAGATATTGCCGAGGAATATGACTTCTTTGGACTTCCATTGAAGGAAGGACTTTTTTCTCCCTTCTTAAACAAATTTTTATTTATTTATATATTTATTTTTCTTGTTTACTGTTGAGTCAGATCAGATTGGCACAGGAAGAGATTGTCCCTCCTTTTCCAGCAGTGCATCTGGTGGATTTGAACTGCGCACCTTTGGGATTGCAGCACAGCTTCTTACCACTAAGCCACCAAATCTCTGAAGGAAGAACTTTTTAAGATTGATTTTTTTGTGTGTGGGTGCCCAAGTTTATTGAAAATATTACAGCATCAGACAGACTCAAACGGCTCCACGCGGTGTTTTGAAATTAATCCCAACAGTGGGCTGAGTGACCTGCAGGTTGGACAGACTGCCAAAGTCCAAGAGTTTCAGCATTTCCTTAGTATAAGGATCTACTTCAATGATCTCCTGATCCAGGGCTGAAACCTCTGGTACATAATTATCTCTCCTTTCTCTCTCCTCCTCCTGCAGCTTAATGCAGATGCCTCTCACAGGCCCTCTCTGAATCCACTTCATCAGATGTGTGACATAGCCTGCTATCTTGTTCCAGAGTTTTTTGCTGGGAATAATGGCGATCTCCTCGCACACGCACTTGTTCGTGTGGAAGTCATTACCCAGACACGTGTAGTATTTTTCAGTGATGACCCGGGCCGCCTTCTTCATGGTTCTGGTGCGAACACAGCCCATGTTGGTGGGTCCTTGGTGAAAGAGCACTTTTTAGGATCTTGTAGCAGCGTGGCCAGCTGAGCTCTAAAACCTCTTGAGAAAGGGATCATATCTAAATCACATCAAAACACATTATAGTGATGCAGAAGCATTTTGACTGTGCAGAAAATGCAATGAATGTGTGGGTTAGTTAAGACATAAGTATTGCTGGAGTTTTATTCATTCAGCAGTCCTTGTTGAGCCATGAGCCAATTGTCCATATAGGGAATTGTATGGCTGTCACTGTCACTGTTCTCATGGGTCATAGGGAGCCTCTGTTACCCAGAGAATCCTACAGAGTGAGTGGCTTTTATTATAAGTGGTGTGTTGGATGCAGTGTCAGAAAGCTTAAAAGCTGATGAAGTTAGGATGTAAGGTGTTTGACCCAGGTCATTTACCCCCATTGCTGGGACTCATTCTCACAGAGCATGCCCACACTTGGACCAGATGGTCTCTTCTTTCCTTCCAGTTCTCTATGGCTTTGAACTATTAGTACAATGAGTCAGGAGACAGAGCTGCAAGTGCTATTCTTTTGTGTGAACTGATTATCAAATGCTAATGCTAAATGTTTCACTTGTTAATCTCTGAAAGCAAAGCTTTCAAGTTCAAACTGTCCACATTGATAGCCTTGGTCTTCGAGAACAAGAACATAGTCTTATTTTATCACAATGTTGTTTTTGCTGTTGTTGATTGCCTTCAAGTAGAGCATGACTCATAGCGACCCTATCAACAAAGCGCGTGAAGCCCCTCTACAACTATTGACATTTATTAAAGTTCATAGAGTTTCCAGAGGCACGTTATTTACGAAGTGGATGCCACTCCTGCTTCTTGCTTTCTGTTGGCCCCTTGCTGAATCAGTGCTTCTCTGTGGGTTTATTAAGGCGTTCTAGATGATGATGCTTGTCATAATACTTGATATTTTATTGATCCTTATTATAATCGTTAGGTTGTTCAAAGACTTGGACCCTCTTTATTCTGAGATCTTAAAAATCATTATCTACCCTCATCCAGAATGTGATGATGATCATCATCTAGAACTTCATTAAATTTTTTTATAATTTTCTTTTTTAATTTGTGTGTGTACTGTCAGATCGGATCTGACTGGTACAGGAGGACATCGTCCCTCCTTCTCCAGCAGGGCATCTGGTGGATTCGAACCGTGCACCTCTGGGATTGTAAAACTTCTTAATAAGCCCATAGAGAAGCACTGATTCAGCAAGGAACCAACATTTGAGCATCTATGTAGCATACTTTGCTGGAGAATAGACATAAAGAAATAGATTTGTGAAAGTGCTTGTTACAAGTGTGATGATAGAAATCTCTAGGATTAGGGTAGTTTAGCTAATGGGTGAGAAGAGAAATCAAGGGTGAGCTTAATAAAAGGAAAAAGAACATTAGTGTTAAGAAGACCTGGGATTTTAAGGGAACTCTGGTGGCCTAGTGGCAAGAAGCTACACTGCAATCCCAGAGGTATGTGGTTCAAATCCACTAGTTGCTCTGATGGAGAAGGAGGGACAATCTCCTCCTGTACCAGTCAGATCTGATTTGATGGTACACGCACACAAAATAATAAAATCTTAAAAAAATTAGAAAAGAAGACCTGGGATTTTAGAATTTCCCCTGATTTGTTTTTTTTTCTTTCCATTTTTTAATTTTCATATTGGTTTGCATAGAAGAATCTCAACTGTTGATATTATTTGTGGGACCTCAACTTCTCTGAGCCTCAGCTGTCTGAGGTGTATAAAGGAAATAATACTTCCTTCCCATGGTTAGTATGTGTGAGATTAAATGTGTGTGTGTGTGTGTGTGAGAGAGAGAGAGAGAGAGAGAGATGAAGTACTTTGTATCTGAGCTCTAGGGACAAAGCCTTAGTCCTGAGTAAAGTAGATGTTAGGCTATTGTATTTGCTAAGGTAAGAAAACATTTTAGGTAAATTTAGGTCTCAGCTTAAACCCCATCAAGCATCAGCCCCTTTTCTAAGATAGTGTGCCAACTAGGCAATTGTTGGTGTTCTGGAAGATCAGGTGTCAGTATGTGCACTGCTTCTGCAGAATGATGGTGGTGGTGAAGGAGGTGGCAAGCAACCTGTGCCTTCTGAAAATAGGTCTTAATATCAACTCTGGCTGCAGGTATGAAAGGAATAACTTTGCACACCTGCACCCATAGGAACAGAAACAACAATAGAGGAATGTCTCCATTCTAACATTTCCCCATCTTCTTTCCTTGAACCAGATATTAGAATGTGGGCAACCTGCTGCAACTGGTTCTGCCTGGATGGACAGCCTGAAGAGGCCCCACCACCCCAGGGATCCAGGACGCAAGCCTATTCCAACCCTGGATACAGCTCCTTCCCTTCCCCAACAGGCTCTGAACCTAGCTGCAAGGGCTGTGGGGCCCACTTTGCCAACATGGCCAGGAAGGTGAGTGTTGAACTCTCATCTGTGTTGCCACTACAGCTTCAGCTTTAATTTAAAGACTATAGAGCCTTAGGCCAGCCAATGCCTTCTCCAGGAATGCATGCTTCCTCCTTCTGCTTATGTACTACTGGTAACTCAGACTCACACTGCTTTTTACACTAAACCAAAAACATCTTAATAGAGATTTGGGACAGATAGGCCTGAATTCTGATACCAGCTTTGCCATTTATTTTCTTTGAAAAGAAGCTTAGAGAGATTAAGTCATACTTTACCATGTACGAGTTAATCTTTCTGAGCTTCCTTTTCCCATTGATAAGATGGCAACAATAATAATATCCACCTCACAGTATTGTTGTGAGAATAAATTAAGCCATGAAGAAAGCTGTGCAGCCTGTCCAGCATGATGCTTGCCTTAGCCATCATAAAAGAATTAACTGCAAATTAATGTGGGTTTGGTTTTTTTTTATCTAAAGTAGTATCAAAAACTCCTCAGGTAAGTCAAGACCCTAACAAGACAAAGATTAGAGCTTATTTACTGTAGCTGATTACATTCCATTTGTTGGGCTGCTCAGCTTCCCAGATTAGTTAGCAGGAAATAACATTATTGGCTGAGTAATTGTCTGTAGGAATGGCTGTCCCTTTGTTAATGGCTGGCAGCATGTTCTTGATGGTTGGGGCAAAAGGTGAACTTTGACCTGAATAAAGAGCTGCATTTTTCTGCAGGATTAGAAATTTGTAGTCTAGAATTGGTGATTGCATATGATATTAAAATGGTAATAATGATATAAAATCAGGAAAAGCAAGCACCAGGGTTTGTATCCTTTCTTCATTCGTAGTCAATCTGTATGCTGAGCAAATCATGTGAGAAGCTGGACTCTTACAGAAAGTGGCATCAGGACTGAAGGAAAACTCATCAACAGCCTGCATTATGCAGGTGATACAACCTTGCTTGCTGAAAGTGATGAGGACTTGAAACACTTGTTACAGAAGATCAAAGCCTACAGCATTCAATATGGATTGCATCTCAGTATCAAGAAGACAACAATCCTCACCATTGGACTGATAAAGCAACATCATGATTGATAGAAAAAAAGATTTAAATTGTCAGTGATTTCATCTTATATAAATCTACAGTTAGCATCCTTGGTACGAGAAGTCAATAGATCAGGAGATCTATTGAATTGGGAAAATCCTACAAATTACTGAGGAGCAGAGGTGTCAATTTGAAGATGAAGGTACTCTTGATTCAGGTCATTTGCTATCTTTTCAGTCATTTGCTATCCATTTGAGAGCTGGACACTGAATTAGAATGACAGAGAATTGATGCCTTTGAGTTTTGATGTTGGACCCTGAATCTCCCATGGACTACCAAAAGAACAGATATGTCTTGGATAGAGTACAGCAGAGTGCTCCTTAGAGGCGAAAATGACAAAGCTTTGTCTCACATACTTGGGCATGTTGCTAGGAGAGGCTATTCCTTGGAGAAAGACGTCATGCTTACAAAGGTCGAGGGTCAGCAAAAGAGAGGAAGCCCTCAGTGGACTCAAATGTGTCAGATGATAAGGATGGCAGAGGATAGGACAAATCTCTTCTTTATAAGGTCACTATTCAACTTGACAGCACCTAGCAACGACAACAGCAAAGGGTATTTGAGAGGAACTAGTGTTTTTAAGCATCTCCTATATCCAAGGAGGGAGCTCTGGTGGCAAGTCTGTAGCAAGTTATGCTGTGTATCTCAGTGGTTTGAATCAGTGTCTCTGTGGGAGAAAAATGAGCAGTTTCCTCTGGTTGCAATTTACAGCCTTGATGGGAGATTACTACAAGATGGAACTGACTCTGGCATTGAGTTTTTCATTTATATGCCAGAGACTTTTCAGAACACTTCAGAGTTTTTTGGTTTTTTTAAATCTTTATAACTGGATGATGCAGCTGTTAGATTCCCTAAACCAGCATTTTATGTCTAAGGAACTAAGGCGTAAAACCTTAAACCTAGAAAAAGAAACTGTATGTATATCAAGTTCATGACAAATAGCATAAAAGATATTAAAGCACTCATTCTTTTTTTGCTTCATAGGACCCACATATTAGCATGTGACAGAGCTGATATTCAAACCTAGATCTATGGCGAGCTCTGGTGGCCTAGTGGCAAGAAGCTGCACTGTAATCCCAGAGGTGTGTGGTTTGAATCTGCCAGATGCTCTGCTGGAGAAGGAGGGACAATCTCCTCCTGTACTACTAAGATCTGTTTTGTCTGTACATGCACAAAAAATAATTAAAAAAAAACCCACAAAACACGCTAGATCTATGGCTCCAAAGCACCCCTTCCCCCTGGAAAACCCTCAGTATGCTTGTATTGCTCTATCTTGAAATATAGACCACACACCTTTCTGTACTTTTAGGATGATAGAAAATCGACAATTTCCTCATGGTGTAGTGCAGTGAAGGAGGCAGATAGCCAAGCCTTGTTTGCTTTGCTTGGTTGCCCCAGTCACTGTGAGAACTCAGCGAGTGAGACATTTAAGAGAACAGAGAGCTATGGCTGAGGATGGGTGGAAAGGCCTCTTAAACGGAAAGACTGAGCCTGTAGATTGTACTGCATCAAAGAGAAGAAGGACCTCAATGCCACGTGGCTTCAGCCCCTACTGATGGAGAAGCTCGGGTGGAGTTTAGATCTAAGAGGAGGTGGGAAGTGAGGTTTCTGGGCACTTAAATGTCAGAAACTCTGCTTTGAACTTGACATGTGTTATCTCATTGAATTTTTATAATAACCTATGTAGAGTACACTATTATTTACTCCTGTTTTACAGGTAAAGAAATTGTTCAGTTTATTCAAGGCAGTAGTTTCAAGTATTCCTTATGTATATCAGAAGTCATTTGGACAGCCAGAAACCGTGCTGTTTTTGCTATTTTACCCTGTGAGAAATGCTAGGAATAGCTGCTGGTAGAAGTGGCAAGATAATTGGCCAGAAAGGCATAGAAAAGACCCTTGCTTAAATGAGGCAGCAGGAGTTTGAAGTAGGTTTCTTTGAAATTTTTTTTTTTTAAATCAGTTCTACTATGTAGAGTGGAAATGAGAAAAAAAGAAAAAGGCTCGTGGTGATCTGGGCTTGGAGTTTGGCATATTGATGAAAACGGACACCTGATGAAAATATGCAGGAGCCAGGTTATCCAGAGGACTCTTGATAATTCTCAACAGGAAGAGAGAATAAGAAAAGAAAGAAAAGAGAATCCCACCCTTAAAAAAGAGAATGATGGTTAAGTGAGAATGGGGAGATGCTTTGTTTTTGTTTAATATGGTCATCATGGCCTGCTATAAATATGCTTGTTTGCTGTCTGTCTTCCTTGTTGGCATACAGGAACAAAGACTTTGCCAGTGTTGATACTAACTTTATCCCCACTGCCTAGAATCGTGACTTACACATGGTAGGGAGAGAATACATTTTTTTTTAAAAAAAAAGAATGAATGGACAAATGAAAGTGAGGATACTTGGAAAAGATGTAGACCAGAATTTGTATTTTCATTACTTTATGGCTAACAATTCAGTGCTTTATGATAACGTAGAGGACCCAGTGCTGGGCTGGAGCCTGCTAGCTGCTAGACATTTTAGCTCTGTGGATTTGGATGTGAGTATGAAGCTGAAGAAGGATGTGGCATCAGGAATGAAGACAGACTTATCAGCAACTTGTGTTATGCATATGATACAACCTAACTTGCAGAATGTAAAGAAAATGGAAAGCACTTACTGAAGAAGATCTAAGATCTTTAATAAAGATTACACCTCAACATAAGAAAACAGAAATCTTCACTATTGGACCAGTAGGCAGCGAAAAGATTGAAGTTGTCAAAGATTTCCCTGATGTTGCTCGACAATCAACATTTGTGGTAGCAGCAGTCAAGATGTGTTGCATTGGGCAAATCTGCTGTCAAGGATGCTTTAAAGTGCCAAACAGCAAGGATGTCAGTTTAAAGATTAAACTGCGCTTGCCCTTAGCCGGAGTTGCTTCATATGAATATGCAAGTGGACAGTGATTAAGGATGACAGAAGAATCTATGCCTTTGAGCTGTGATGTTGGAAGATCACTGAATTACCCCATGGACTGCCAAAAGAACAAACAAGCCTGTGTTGGAGGAAGTGCAAGCAGGGTGCTCCTTGAAGGCAAGGATCATGAAACTTCATCTCACATGTCTTGAATATGGCAGAAGGGTCCAGTCCTTGGAAAAACACTTTGTGCTGGAAATAGAATGTGGTATCAGGATTGGAGGAAGACTCATTGACACCCTGCACTATAAAGATGATAACAACCTTGCTTGTTGAAAATAAAGAGCAGCCAAAGTACCTATTGAAGAGCAAACACTGCACAGCCTTGAGTAGGGATTGAAACTCAAACTCATTGCTCTTGAGTCTAAACTGCCTCATAGCTGACTCGCCAGTGGGTTTCAATGGGAAGAGATTGTCCGTCTTTTCCCCCAGAGCCGCTGGATTTGAACTATCAGAGAAGCGTGGCCTGGGAATAGTGACACACTTTGGTCACAGGGATTACATCTAATGAATAAGAAAACAAAAGTTCTCACAACTGAGCCAATGCTAATTTGCCAACCATTGGCTGAATCAAAGATACCAGGTTGTGACATGCAAGGTGTTTTTGAGAACTATGATTGGTATGGTTGACCATTTGCAGGATATTTGGGAAGTTAGGGTGGAAAGAAAATTAGGATTAGATAGTAAAAAGTCTTGATTGACTAGTAAAGAGTTTGTGGCCAGCAAACGAGGAGCCATCAGAAATTTGATGAATGAAGTAATGTTGTAATCAGTCTTGCTGTGGACAGGTGACTTAGCTTCGTTAGGAAGGTGGTTTGATAGAGTGCCTGGGATTACCAGTACATGCTGAGAAGTTACCAGTATTCTCTGGAATGGTAGTGAGGGGCTAGTAGATGTAACTCATTTAACAAGCAACTCTTTGTGCCCCACCTGTTAAAGCTGTAGTTGTCACCCCATTTTACA